CTGCCATAAGTCTTTCGAAAGCACATCAGAAACCGGCGCATGGTATCTGGCGAGGCCAAGAAATGCTTGTCGATTGCCATCGACGGGATCGACGATCTCAATAGGGCCGGCAACTGCAACAACTTCTGCCGTCTCTCGGGAATGATCGGCTTGATGCCCTCCTGGGAAAATTGATAGTCTCGTATGACCTCCTGGTCGGGAACCCCCAGGACCAGAAGGATGACTGCAATGCAAATCCCAGTCCGGTCTTTGCCGAGCTCGCAGTGGAGCAAGACCGGGTGCCCGGGATTATCCCGCAGATAGGTAAAGACAGTGCGGAACGCTGCGGTCGACATGGCGCAAATCCACAAGTACAGCTCTGCGGTGACAGAAGGTGCATCATCAGTTGCCAGGCCGTGAAGATAGGTTACTATTTTGTCATCATCCAAGTTGGACAACGCTGGGACTTGCACGGTCGGGATAATGGCGAGGCGGCGGTTTCTCTGGACATCTTCGCCGACGGAGCGCAGATCGAATATAGTTCGAATCCCATAGCCTTTAGCCAGCTTGATTGCTCCAGTTTGGGTGATCGCCTCGGTATTTGACGAACGGAAAATGAGCCCTTTCCGAACGAACCCTCCCCCAATCGCTCGATACCCGCCGACGTCGCGGAAGTTGGACAGGCCGTCTATGTCAAAGAGGTCGGGCAGCCTACCCTGTATGGGAAAAAGAAGATCTCGACTAGGAAAGAGTTCGTAGCAGGACGACATCGTTTCGGGTGTACATTCCAGAACATAAGTAAGACACCATATTAGGCATGGCTGAACCACGCTGGTCTAGAGAAGGCCCTTTTATGTTATCATTTCGGCCGATCGGACAAAAATCGCCTTGACCTGAGGCGAATCTGTTTCCTTCTTGCGGCAACGACAGGAACTTGGCCGAGTTGACCTCATCGATGCACCGATCCTTGACAAGAAACGCTGGGAAGAGACTCCGCTTATCGCCATTGGCCAAATACTGAACCATGACAGTCAGCTTTCATCTGAAAGGCTATCCGGCTCATGAAGCTGGCTTCTACATCCGGTCCAAGTCTGTTGATGGTACGTTAAGGGGATGCTTAAGGAGCGGATAAGGAAAGTGCCTGGTGGGGAAACTGGTTTTCCCACGTGGAATCAAGGATGTGCCCAGGTTGGGACGAGTTCTAATTTCCAAGCGTTTGAAATTGCTTGGAAATAGCACAGCCGCTGCGTCATCCCGGTGTACTCTGTAGAGGCATGACACCTCCCAGTTCCCACCCCAGAAATCGGGCTGCTGATGCCCCGCCTTTACGAGCTCCATAAGCATCATCCCTCTTTGGGGCAGCTAGTTAAGCGCCGCTAATGCTGAGCTAAGTGTGAGTCAAAGTCTGGGTCCAATACGGTTCGAGACCATGCGCCCCCTTTGAGTCATGTCAGATTAGGCAGAAGAGGATGATGGTGCGGCCGCTCAACAGCTTAAAATCACCTCTCTGCCCTCAAGATGCTTTTGGTCTGCATCTTCTCCAACAATCTCATTCCCCACCAACAGCATGGTTCCCATCCAGAAAGTTGCCATCTTTGGCGTAAGTATCATTTCTAACAGCAGTACGACATAATAATCGCCCTCGACTAACACCCCCCTCGGCCTCGGGCAACTTCGGGACTCCGATCACCGCAGCCCTGAGGGCCGCCGGGTTCGCCGTGACCATCATCACCAGACTCGAATCAACAGCCACTTTCCCAGAGGAATTTCCCGTCATCCGGGCGGCATACACAGTCAGCGACCTATCCAAGGTGCTCAGCGAACATGACGCCGCGGTCTGCGCCGTCGGCCCCGGCGGGATCTCCAAGCAGGCCGTCATGATTGAAGCCGCAGAGGCAGCCGGAGTGAAACGCTTCATCGTCTCTGACTTCGGCTGGGGCCCTAGCATTCAGGGGTTGCCCGAACTTGCCGCCGTGCATGCCCAGCGCGTCGCCTCATGGGAGGCCGCGAGGGTGCGCGCGGACGCCAACCCGCAGTTTACATGGACTGGAATCAGCACTGGAAATCCAATCGACTGGGTAAGTTTTGTTTGACGGAGCCCATAGAATGACTTGGACGGTATTCTGACCGAGCGATAGGCCCTGAAAAAATTTGCGACCATGGGCTTCGACGTCGTGCAGCGCACCACTATCATTTACGACTCCGGGATGGAGAAGTTTAGCGGAACGACCTTGGAGGGAATCGGGCAGTCCGTTGTGGGTGTGCTGCAGGACCCAGACGCGACTGCCAACCGGTTCGTGAAGGTGCGATCCATCAATACGTGCCAGAACGAACTGTTGGAGGCGTTTCAGCGTGTCACCAGACAGGAGTGGCCTGTGCAGCGATCGACAACTAAGGCGCTGCTTGAAAGAGGGCGCAGTAAGCTGCAGGCAGGCAGTGGTGGATGGGTTTTGGACATGGTTGTGGCCCAACTATTCGACGAGGGCCAGGGACGCTGCATGGTTGCGGCGTCCAGGGAGGAATCGGACGCAGACTTGTTGGGCGTGAGGGAGGAGAGTGCGGAGGAAATTGTGACCAAGGCTTTGAAGTGATTTTGCCTGGAATAGACCTGTCGATAGCAGGTCTGCAGTTTGTATCTGCTCTACCACCATGCCTGGTTTTGATATTGCAATGAATTTATCCACAATACCATCATCAGCCTTACATCCCTAGCCAGCCTCCTTAGACCTATCATAATTCAAAACCGCCAGACTATTCTTACTATACCAAAATAACACACTACCTTCACCCTCCTACATTCCTTACTATCTACACCCCCCCCCTCCTGCATCCTATATACACCAGCCCCATCCAGTCCACCCCATCAATGAATAACAAATGGCGCCTCCTGCACCGGGGCGAACAGGTCCTCCACCTTCACCACCCGATCAATCATCCCCTGCTCAAACAAATACTGCACCAACGCCTCGAGGGTCTTCCGGTTCTTCTCCACGCCATACGGCCAACAATCCTCGCCAAACACCTCGATCGTCTCCTCCAACGCCTCCCTCAACCACGGCAACATACACCTAATCATACCCGGCATATAGGTCCTCTTCCGAACCAACTCCTTCGACTCATCTAACGCCTGGAACAGACTCGTGGCCACCCACTTATGCTTCTCAAACACTTCCCTCCGAATCGCAACCAGATGCATAATCGGAAAGATGCCTGTCTTGCGATAATACGCCTTCTCGGCCTCCTTATAATCGGGAAACAGGCGCTGCACATGTGGCGCATTCTCACTATCCCACAAACAAGCCGGCACCTCCGCGCCAATCGTGCCATCAATCTCCCCATCGACCAGCAACTGATTCAACGACTTCCCACTCTCATTCTTCACGATCGTCGCCGGCGGCTTGCCGCCCTCCCGCTTAATCAACACCGAGGGCTTCCCATGCGCGCCGGGCGCATCCATCCGCCCCTCCACCCAGGTGATGCTCGACAGATCGACCCCATACTCATGCATCAGCAGACCGCGGATCCACACCGCCGCAGTCATGGTATACAGCTGCACGCCGATGCGCTTCCCCGAGAGATCAGCGGGGGACTTGATCCGGTCGGTGTTGACGACGATGTATCCGTGGCGGAACGTCCGGAGCGGGAACGCCGGCACGGCCGTGAAGGTGCGGTCGCCCGCGGCGTGGCGCGTGATGTACTCGCTGCTGGACAGCTCCGAGGCGTCGAATTCCGCGTTGCGCACCATGCGGTCGAACACGTCGCGCGGGTGCTGCACTTCCACGAAGTTGAGGTCCAACCCGGCCGGCCGGACTTCGCCCGTGGCCAGGGGGACCATGCGGTCGTAGCAGGGGGCGGCGAAGGAGAAGGGAATGGGCATTTTGGGTGAGGTTTGTGGTGAGGATGAAGATGAGGATGAGGAGGCGGTTTGGATAGGGGGTAGGAGAAGGGGAGGGGAGAGATATTTGATACAAATTGCCCAGAAACTTAATGGCGGATAAGCCGGCGGTGGGTCGGCTTGGCTGGTCTTGTTGCTCGGTGGGAGGCTCGGAGTGGGGGGAGTGCTTCGGCTGAGGCACCTGGATCCAGTTAGGGCTGAGCTGGCAGTGGGGTTTCGGGCGAGGGATGGAGATTCTGGATTGGTGACTCGGAAGGAAGGAGCATGTCCGATGGATTGATGGATGGTGAGGGTTGCTCGGTGCAGGCTTCGGTCGAGGCTCGGGTTTGTCGGGGGTGTCGGGCGAGGGTCGGAGATATCGGGTTGGATTGGTTAGATGGCCGGAGCGGTTGCAATCAGTCAAAAGCCAAGCGAGTCAGATCGGGGTCGTATGACGAGTGAATAGTCCGATAGGGGAAGCATCGTGGACCAGCTTACTGGGGCGGATCTTGGATAAGGAACTCGAAGTGCCCCGCTGCCTGGAACACAGGATGTGCTGGTAGTCATCATGACAACTTGGGGAAGTCATCATCATATTTGGATTTTCCTGCCGGCATATCGTTACAAGACTCATGTTTACGGGATACAAACGCTCCATCTCCTGCAGAAGCAATATCGCAACGAGATACCAAGTCAGATATGTGAATACATCTTCTCAACTAATAGAAGTCCAGCACTCACCTCTCGGTTTATATAGTATGTAGTACTTAAATGTTTATAGTATATTCACCATAAGTTAGTCTAACAGTACTACTAGGTAGGTCGCCTTAAAATGCCTTGAATTGTAATTTGGTCTAAGTAATTGAGGTATTTGCGAGGTCACCTTGTCAGCTTGCAACGGCAGGGGAAAGAAATATATACATCCACACCTAAAACCTGATGAAGGGGATATTTGACCAAACTGGTCAAGATATTGACTCACTGACCATGAGTAAAAATATACTAGATCAATATGCCAAACAATCATGGTGGTGATGTTCAAATTCTACCACGTAGGGCTGCAAATGAAATGTGAAAAAGCGTGGAAAGGCATGATTCTTTAGCCTTGGCTTCTGTAGGCAAAAATGACGGCATGATTTCATCAGTTGGCCGGTTGGTGTAGTTGGTTTATCACGTGTCCTTAACACGGACAAGGTCCTGGGTTCGAGTCCCAGACTGGTCAATTTTTTTTTGTTTTTCTGCTCTGTCGAGTCCCCATGTATCGCCCCGCAAACTGATAAGCCCGCGTTCTCGCAACATCAACTGGGCATGATTGTGGACGCTGCCTCGCGAGCAAGGATTCCTCTCTTATTTTTCACCATGTGTGCAACAGATCGTTCCAGTTGTCGTCGAGCCCTCAATGTCCCAATCAGGATCTTCATACTCTACCAGCCTGCCAATGAAGCCTCGACACGGGGGCAACTCGCCGGAGGGTTTATGTGTCGGCCGTGATAAGAATGCGTGCGGGGCACCCGATGGATTCCCCCCGATAAAAGACGGCCTCTCCAACTCCCGCACTACTTACTATCTTCCTGTACACGCCCCTCATATAGAAGACCCCATTTTTTGCATGTTCATATAATATCATTATATAGCACCGCAACACCATGGCATTCTGCGATCTCTCCGCCCCAAAGGCGGAATTCGACCACATCCCCATCATTGACCTAGCAACCCTGCGGAGCCCCCTCCTCAAGGAACGCCAGCAGCTGGCAAAGGAAATCCACAAGGCCTGCACCCAAGTCGGCTTCTTCTACATCAAGGTAATGCCCTGATGTCCCATTCGTCCATCTTTGACTCACCCTATCCAGAACCATGGAATCTCAGAAGAACTCACCACGGGTCTACACAACGCCGCGCAACAGTTCTTCTCTCTCCCAGCGGACCGGAAAAGGGAAGTCTATATCGGAAAGTCTAAAGTCCGCACCCCTCACTCATACATATCCCCAACTGACCCAGCGCCCCCCAGAAATATCGTGGCTTCATCCCCCTGAACTCGGAACAACCCACCGGCACGGATCTATCCGCCCCAGACCCGACCTCGCCAGGGGCTTTCTCGGAAGCATTCGATATCGGGTACGAGCTAGCAGCCGATCCCCTAAGAAGCCCGGATGATGTCCTCCCAGCAGACACATTTGGCTTGTACGGAGACAACCAATGGCCCAGCGATGATGTCGTCCCCGGCTTCCGGGAAACCTACATGCGATACTTTGCAGAGGCACTAACCCTGTGTCGAGCGATGATCCGCATTTTTGCCCTCGCGCTGGAACTCCCGGAAGATTTCTTTGACCCGATGGTCAACTACCCCGGCGCGACATCGAGGATGCTGCACTATCCGCCCCAAGAAGCTGTGGGTGAGGCAAGAATCGGACTCGGGGAACATACGGTGAGCACCCTCAAACACCATTATTATGCCGACTAACAACACCCCCAGGACTACGAATGTTTCACCCTTCTATTACAAGACAAAGTCCCAGCTCTCCAGGTCCTCAACGCCCGAGGAGAGTGGATCCTGGCGCCCCCGATTCCCGGGACATTAGTCGTGAACATTGCCGATTGCTTATCCATTTGGTGAGCACGACGCTCCTCAGATCAAGGTCTTACTGATGTTAGTAGGACAAACAAAACTTTCAAATCGACCATCCATCGCGTCACGAACCTGACCGGACAAGAACGATATACTATCCCGTTCTTCTTCGGGGTGGATTACGACACTACCGTGTCGGTCCTGCCGAGCTGTATTTCCCCGGACAGGCCTGCGTGTAAGCCGTCATTCAAGGCGGGTGAGGTGAGCAGATGTCTTCGGTGAGCGTCATGTAGCATAGGCTGACAGCTACAGTGGGTGCATCATCAGCTGGCGACAGCATATCCCGGGTATGAGGAGACGGTGGCTGAGAGATAAGCATATGGGCTGGATGAGTAGAGTATATGGCCCGAAGATATGGGCTACGTATATTACATCTACATAAAGCGCTCCGTAGTCTATTATTTTGAAGAGATCATTGATTTCGATTCAGTCTGTTTTGGAGGACAGTGCACAGTGTGCTACCTGGAGATGTGCACGGGTCGGATGCGAAGGCCCCAGTGAAGTGGGAAATGGCAATCTGAACTGAATTATACGAGTACATTTAAAGTGAACAGGCTATCCATGTGCATCAAGTCAAGACTCAATCTGTGCCAAGACTCAGCATATTGCCGAGTGCTGTCTTCACCTATTGATCATGAAATTGATCCCCCTTGATTTAACTCAACAAGCTTCTTACTAACGATCCAAGACCAATATATGTTATTAAACCTCCTGGAGTGGGAGGTACATATTGACTCCACCTCGGAGGATAATGTTTCGCGAATGAACCCTCCGTCCTCGCCAACTGGCGGGATAAAACTCCTACCGTCAATCTAGTCGCTGATAAAACCCATTTTAATTGTTCCATCAGAGGGTGAGAAAGAAAACTCTTATTCCTAATTGGTCCGGAAAAAGCCGTGGAATGAAGTAGCTAGTCAAATTCCATTGTTGATGTGGCTTCTGTGAAAGGGACTACACTTCACAACAGCTGCTCAAATTTAAACTTCCATTGGGCATAGATACAGCAAAGAATAAGACATTTCCGGACCGAGAGACTGCCCTCAATTGGAGCTGAAAACCGTGTCTCCCGCACCTGAGCTCATTGGTTTTAAGATGACGCTACCCATTGCCTGGTCGAAAAATCTTTGGTGTTGTGTATATATAGTTGGTTGTCAGCTAGTAACCAGAAAAGTGCCAATCTAGTACATGATAATATACCCGACCAACCATGTCATTTCAATTACTGTGCATCTACAAAGTGGCGACAGACATGTCTGCTGGCATTGAACGTGATGGAGAAGGCGACGAGTCGAATGACTGCTCTGACCTTCGAAGGTCATATGGACAGCACCGTGGGCCAAGTATTAGTGCGAGTGGAGCTGGGGTATCAGATTCATTCTTGTGACCCGGATATGGATCAGAACGATTACATCGTAGAGGGATGCTGAGATTTAAGCCTCAAACCGGAATTGGGTGATCTGGCAAGCCCATCATTTCCCTTCGTTATACTTCCTGGTGGAGGGTCTCGGCGAATAGGAAGGCGAATTGGAACAACGTCTTACAAGCACCCCGCACATTCCAGGGTACTTCTAGCCTCGACAGGGCATCATGGCCTTGCCAATCCTGTCTAGGTTCATCGTGTTGGACCAGAGGACCCCTTCGCGCTAGAAGCTGTCAACCGTGGAAGGGCAGTACCGATCAAGGCCGGGCCAGCCTGCCGGACATTTCCGGGCGGGGATCAAGGTTATCATGGTGGCCAGATCAGTCCGTTCGTTGATGGGATTCCACGACAGAGGGAGACGAGACATGGGGCCGGACTGGTGAGTGCTTCAACAGAGGCATGAGTCCAACCCGAGTGCCCCTTCAACAGACATAGAAACGAAACAGTGGTCGCTGTAGTTGTATAGAAAGCAAAGCACGAGAGATGAGATCGATCGTGGGGAATGACAGGCGTGATCGTCACATGTGTCAACCCACGAGCGGCAGTGAGGGTTGGGGCTGGGGGCTCCCGTGACAGCCGCCTCGGCTGCCGCGCACAACGCAACATCAACATCAACATCACCACATCACCACATCACCACATCACCACTTTCCCTCCCAGCTGGCCATCTCCGGTTTCACCGACAATGTCGATCAGCTCGCTGCCTATATAATAACATCACGCGGCGGATGCGAATATCCACTTCGAACGCCAGTCATTGTACTGCGGCTGCGAACAATCCCCTCGGCCTCGTGATGTCATTGACTTCCTCCTGCCCATGACGCACCATAACCGCCGTTTCGAGTCAACAAAGACGCCATGACACCATGACTACGCCCATTCCCATCACTTTCACGTGGCCCGATCGATGGTTATTGGCAGCATCCAGCGATGGCTTTCTCCAAGCGCGATGAACCGCCGCGACAAACTCCCGCCTATCGCGTGCGAACCACGGTCATCGCGCAGTTTATTCCTCCTGGGCGATCAGGAAGAAGAAAGGGGAACGCCATGATGTCAGGATTGCTCAGTGCTCGGGGTTCAGGGCTCATCCTGCATCATTGACCCTGGCGGAGAGTCGGAAGTTCATATACCGTCTGGTAACCACGAACGAGAAGAACCCAATTGCTCTCGCTCTCTACTATGCTTCCCACCATCCCCTCCCATTGATCCAATACAGCATGTCTTCCACTCGCGCCACGGGGAACACGGCTGTGAATGGGGGCGCAGCATCGCTACCCATCCTACGGGAGACGGTGACCACTGTCTCCCAGGAGTGTCCCTCGCGCCTGGGACTCTCCGCGACCGAGGTCCAGGCCAAAGCGCCCACCCTCGACGTCTTCTTCGATGCCATTGCCGCCGAACGGCTCCGACGCATGCCCCCAGATGGCAGTCGGTTAGATGGCGCTCTCCGGCGCGCATCTCGGCTCGCCGTCGCCGTCGGCTCGTTGCGAGACTCGGTTTCCAGCTTCATGGATGGGGCGGAGGAGGCCACTAAGTTGGTCTGGGGGACCACCCTACTCTTGCTAGAGGTAGGATATGCGTCCAGAATGACCCTCCGGTAGGCTAACGGGAGTCACAGATGGGAATTGACCACATCGAAGTCATTGAGAGTCTCTTCGGCCGCTATGGGCGAATCACCCTGGGCATCTCGCTGCTGCTCCAGCAGGAGACCTTCTTCCCCACCTCCCGCGCCCTTCAGCAACAGGTCGCTGAGATCTATGCCCACCTTCTGCAGCTAGTCGTTCATGTTGCATCGGAATATCGACAGGGATCGCGGACGCAGCATTGGCAGGCTATGAGCACGGCTGTCGACACCGCATTCTTCCGCTACATGAATCGCTTCATCACCCATTGGCGGCGCATCTTCGCCCTCGTCCTCGAGTCGAGCACAGCCAAGATGCAGACCACAGTCGATCTGCCCGCCATTTACCAGTTCCTGGAGCTGCAGGATCGCCCCCTGCAGATGATGCTGGAAGGCCACAACCATTCACTGGCAGACGGCTCCTTCTCCTGGTTCGACCCCCATCTCACCACATTTGCCATGGGACGGCGATGTTTGATGATGGTTCGGGGTAACCCCGGAGCAGGAAAGAGTGCCCTGGCCCAATGGACGGTTGAGAGGCTGCAGGCCTCCTCA